TATGCTTGAGAAGACATTCTACATGCACTTGAAACTGAATGAATATATCAAACACATCAGATTTGCGCTTAAGAAGATAAAGCCAGGTAAAGCGACTATAGGCATCAATAAAGCTAACATAATAGTTGTGACCACTCACAGAAGTTTGGGCGGGACCCCACACATCAGAAAACACAAGTTCAAGAGGACTCGTTACTTGACGAGTAGAAGAAACAAATGGTAACTGATGACTTTTGCCTTGTTGACAGGCATCACACACTGACATCTCCTTATTGCTAGACTCGATAGGCAGCTCATGACGGTGAAGTATATGGCGAACTATGGGAGTGGCAGGGTGACCAAGGTGAGAGTGCCACTTGGAAGGAGACACACGAACACCACTGAAGACGCGCGGGGCAGATGGATCCTCGAAGCGGTATAAGCAATGGCTAAGGCGACCACTAAGCAGAATTTCCCGGGTGGCTCGGTCCTTAACAAAAAGATCAAACGGGTGAAATTCACATAGGACATTGTTATCAAGGGTGAGCTTTGGAACAGATAACAGATTAAGAGTCACCGAGGGGACCCGTAAAATATTACGAAGATGAAGCTGCCTAGATGGATGACTAGTTAAGAGAGATGCTTGACCAACATGAGAGATGTGCATACCTACACCGTTGGCGGTGTGAACCTTGTCGTGACCGTTGTATGGCTGGTGGGTGGACAGCTTGGTGAGCTCGTTCGTCATATGATTCGTGGCGCCAGTGTCCATATACCACGCGGGATCAATCGGGTATGACGGTGTAAAGCCGGGGTCGACGCATGTATCATTGCCCTTGGCGGCAACATGAGCAGCAGGAGGACCAAAATCCGCCATGGCAAATTGACGCTCATTACCTTTTCCATCATTACCAATACCCAGGAAGCTCCACTGAAACCTCTTGTGGCACTTGGAGGCGAGATGCCTCTCACGCCCGCAAAGCTGGCAGCGCACAGGGCCTCCGCCCGAGGGTGGCGCAGGGGGGGTGGCAACCCGGGCAGGCGACGAAGGTGCAGGGGGGCGCTGGCCACGCGATGCCCAAAAGGCCGCTGGCTGGTCGGCGATGGTGGTGACGGAGCGGCGAGCTTCGATGCGTTGCTCGGTGAAGAGCAGATGGGAGAAGAGCTCGTGCGGAAGAAGCGGCGGCTTGGCGTTGTTGACGGCCTCGGCAAGGTTGTCGTAGTCGGCATCGAGACCCTTAATAACGTAGCCGGCGATCTCCTCATCACTCAGCGGTCGACCAATAGAGGTCAACGTATCCGCCAAGACCTTGATTTTGTTGAAGTATGTTGTGGCAGAGGAGTCCAGTTTCTTGACATCATCAAGCTTGCTGCGAAGAGCCATCGAGTGGGTGGTGGAGGTCTGGGCAAACACATGTTCCAGAGTCGTCCACGCATCCAAGGAGGAGGCAACGAAGAGACAAAGGCCAGCGACCCCGTCTCTGAGGGAACCCTGGATAGCGGAGAAGATCGCTTGGTCTTGCTGCACCCACACATGGTGCGCCGGGTTGATGGCCGGGCCATGGACGGTGTGGATAACATGCGGCGGACACGGCAGAGAACCATCGACATAGCCAAGGAGGGAGCGGTTGCGGAGGAGCGGTAGAACCTTGGCGCGCCAAAACAAATAGTTGTCTGGCGTGAGACGAGTCGAGATTAGGTTGTCGAAGTGAAACGGCCCGGAGATCATGGCGGCGTCGGTGGTAGCAATAGTGGAGACCGCAGGGGCTTCGGGTGCCACACCCGCAAGCTGATCATTGGAGGCCCCCAAGGCCGCCGGCATGATGGCGAGTGTCGGGGACGAGCCAACAGTGGCCGCAGGTGGCGCCATCATCACGGCGGTGGACACCGCCACTGTCGACGGCGCGGGAGACGGCGGGATCGAAGCCGAGAACAACGAACCCACGGCTGTGGTGCCGAAGAATTGGGGCCTCGGCGACGCACCAGCGTGGGCGGGAAGATTGAGAAGGGCGGCTAGCGACGCGGGGATGGTCTCGGAGCCGGTGGAACCGGAGGCGGAAGGGGTCATGGCAGCGGCGGCGACGGCGGCCCTAGGGTTTGGGGCACGGCGGCGGGGCGGCTGGGGTGGAGGTGGAGTAAGTCCTAGGTTTAGGCTGATACCATGTTAAACGTAGGATTTGTAGGAACTGGCTCAACCCTTAGAGATGGTCTATCACATATATTTATAAGGTTACACAATATACAGATTACAAAAGTCTAACAAGCTCCGATCTCTCGGAGAGACCGGCAGAACAGTAGCAGCATCAACTTCTTGTAATCCGCGGCTGAGAGTGAAACACAGCAATGTAATTCTGTTTCTTTTCTTGGTAACATTTTATCGTGTTGATGATGCGTGAGTGTGAGTCGATTTTATTAGCATCGCATGGCAACAAGCCAGCTAACCAACAAGGTCATGACCTGGGTAAGTCGATGAGTGGGTCGTCGTCGGTGGACATGAGGCTGTAGACGACCACGTCCCTGGCGTCGCGGTGGCTCCGCATCACGGCCTCGCGGCGGAACCCGGCGTCCTCCACCGCGCGCCGGGACGCGGCGTCGTCTGCGTCCACCAGCGCCTCCACGCGCTCCACGCCCTCCAGGTCCCCCAACGCCGCGGTCGCCGCGAGCCTCAGGGCCGCCGCGGCCGCGCCCCTGCCCCGGTGCGCGCGCGCCAGCGCGGTCCCGACCTCCGCGCGGCACCGATCTTCTGTGCGCGACACGGTCACCGCGCCCACGATGGCGCCGCCGAGGCAGACGGCGCGGATCCAGGTGTGCGGAGGGTCGGTGCCCCGGAGGAACGCGAGCAGGGCGTCGCGGGGCGGGGAGAAGTAGACCCCCGACGCCATGGCGGCCGTAGGTGGTACTAGTACGGGGTGTTCCGCCCACGCCGTCATGGCTTCGGCGTCGGCGTCGGCGAGGTCGAACGGCCGGAGGGTCACCTCATCCGCGCGCTCCGGCGTCCGGGCTGCCGCTTCTTGCTCCATCGATTCCCGACCCTAATTCGTTCGACACAATGAGACGCTAACGAAGGAAGGTGAGTGACAGAGTGAGTGGCTTACCTACCTCATCCTCGTGTGATGGGGGCAAGGGGTCGCCGGAGACGAAGCCGTAGATGGCGAGATCCCTGACGCGGCCCTTGTGCCAGTAGTGGCGCCGCAGGACGCCCTCGCGCCGGAACCCGGCCTTCTCCGCCACGCGCTGCGACGCCGCGTTGTCCACGTCCACCAGCGCCTCCACGCGCACCAGCCCCTCCACCTCGCGGAACACCGCGGCGAGCGCGGCCCTCACGGCGGCCGTAGCCACGCCCCTGCCCCAGTGCGCGCGGGCCACCACGTAGCCGAGCTCCCCGCGGCACGGGTCAGCCGTGGGCTCCAGGGACACCGAGCCGACGGGGCGGGCGTCGCCGGCGAGGCAGATGGCGCGGTACCACTAGTGCGAGAGCGCGGTGTCCCGGATGTGGGCGAGCAGGGCTTCCGTCTCCGTGGACGCATAGGGCTCCCAGCGGCAGAAGGCGGCGACCTCGGGTTCGGACGCCCATGCCATCATGGCGTCGACGTCCGAGAGGTCGAAGCGGCGGAGGGTGACCTCCGTCGCCATGGGCACACGCGCGGTAGGTGAGCGTGGAGCAGCTACAGTAGTGATGAGCAAGTAGAGATCAGTGCTCAGCCACTAGATCAACGACAACGCAGGAAAAACAAACAGAAATGGTGACTCGGAAAGTAGTGCCAGTCTTGGACGACCGACGAACGAGTGCAAGATATACTCATACAGTATATAGACCAAGCTGGGCCGGCTACCTAGCGTGCAGTGGTGGGAAGGCCCAGGAAGGCCTTCTCAGGCGATTTTTTCGCGCCGGCGCTGAAAAAACGGCCCAGTCGCGCCCCAAGAGCCCGATTTTCGCCTGCTTTGGCCGAAAACAGCGTCGGCGGACCCAGCCCGAACCCGGCGCGCTGAGGGGCGCACGGGGGCGCCGGCGCGAACTGTTTTGGCGCGAAAAAGACGCCGGCCAGTCGCGTCAGCGACTCGGCGCCTCGTCTTCCCCCAACGGCCTCGGTGCCCGCGGGGAATCAATGGCAAGGCTGCCGCCGGCCAGCCTTGCCATTGATTCTCACAGGCAGCGCTTCACGGGACGGCGCGCCGACGCCTCCCCTCCCTCGCACGCGCACACACGGGCGCGGGCCTGCTATAAAAGTCGGCGGCCTCCACTCGCCTGTGCCCACACCAGCCCCCCCTCGCCGAAGTCCAGCCCCTCCCTCTCCCTGCCTCTCCCGAGCGCCGCCTCCCAGCCCCTCCCTCTACCTCTCCCGAGCCCGCCCAGCCCCGCCGTCGCCATGGCAGAACGCTTCCCCGGAGACGAGGCGGCGGCCAACGGCTTCGGCCGCCGTTCGCTCCGCGAACAGGAGTCCTCGCTCCTGTTCCAGGCGAACATCCCGGCGCCGCCGGGCATGCGCGCCGGGCCAACGGGGTGGAGGCTCAGCGCCGGGGGAGTGCCCATTCCCCCGTTGCCCGACGCCGTGGCGAAGCCGAGGTACTTCGCCGAGGAGGTCGACATCGTGCGCGCGTCCCTCACCGACGCCCACCGCTCCCTCGCCCAGTACGCCGTCGACAACCACGCGGCCTGGGCGGCGTATTTCCAGCGCCGCCAGCAGGAGCGCTTGGCGTCCACCAACGGCGCTCCGGTGGTCGGCGGCCGGCAGAACAGCGAGGGGCGCCACCTCTGGTGGGGCGTCCCCGGCCGCACACTCGAGGGCGTGCTCACGTACCTCGAGGGCGGCAACGACCCGCCGTTGGCGTACCCCCCGGCGAGGGTGGCCGCCCCGGCGCAGCACCGACGCGTCAGGCCATGGGCGCCGAGGAGGTTCGGCGCTTCTTCTTCTTCCTCCTCATCGCGCTCTTCTTCCCATTCCTCCGGCTCTCCGGCGCTGCTCGGCGTCAAGGCCGAGCCCGCGGCGGAGACGCCGCTCGGCCGGCGCACTCGCAGCGCCGGCATCGTCATCAACGGGGGCGGCCGGCGCGCCTCGTCCTCGTCGGCTCCTTCGCGCTTCGTCAAGCCAAAGACGGAGCCGGGGCTGGCGCCCGTGAACGCGGAGTTCGACGACGACGACGCGGCCCTCGAATGGGCGCGCCAGGACTCCATCGCGTTGGAGAAGGCGCGCCGGGAGAAGGAGAAGGAGCCCCGGTGCGCCGCCCTATGCCGCTTCGAGGAGCGCCGACGCGGCCGTGAGGAAGGCGGGGTCGTCGTCTTATGCGACAGCGACGACGACGACGACGCGCCGCCGCCTGTTCGCCAAGGCGACGCCGGGCAGGGGTCCAGCAGGGGCACCCGCGTCAAGGAGGAGAAGGCCGCCGACGACGATGGCGGCGACGACGATGGCGGCGACGACTTCAGCCACTTTCTTTTACTTTAGATTAGGTTAATGTAATGTTTGGACGAATTTCGCCGAAACTTGCCATGGTTGGCCGAAATATAACTAGTTTTTATCATAACTTCGCCGAACGGTTTTTTTTAAATACGCGCATGGGGGCGGCCCTGGGGGCCGACGGCTGGGGACCGACTCGCCTGCAGGACCATTTTTTGCGCCGGCTCACCCCCAGGCGGTGCTTTTAGATGCCTCCTGGGGGGCCAACGGCTGAAGATGCCCTAAACCAACAATGCACGGCGAGTATATGTTCCCACATGAGCAAAGGAAACGCAGTGGTGGTACAACTTTAGATATTCCAAACAATTTTTGAAAGCGCATACATTTTTTGAACATGTGCTCATTCTTTAAAATGCAAACATTTTTTAATCTGTGAACAAATTTTGAAAAAGGGAATTGTTTTTGAAATCCGAAACATTCCTGTTAAAACATGAACTTTTTTTCTTTCTGATTTTGCAAAATAAATAAATCTGAAAACGGAAACACTTTGTTAAATTTCAAACAATATTTGAAAACATGAACATTTTCTGAAATTGCTGGAAAACTTTTGAAAAATACAAACAATTTATAAAGATCTTCAACCATTTTATTTAAAAAATAGAAATAATGTAAAAGAAACAACTGGGAAAAGAAAAAACAAAAAAACTGGACCTGAAGCGGTTAGCAACTTTCTAGAAGATTCCCATAACCGGTCTGGTTTTTTTTACATTGCCTTCAACTATTTGTTGCAACAAGTTACAAATAGTAATCTCTACTATTAAAGAGGAG